CCCCGCCTGGGACGTGTCACCCTATGAATGGCTTCAGCTCCTCAGGCCATATGAGCCACGGGATAGGCAAAGATCAAGGAAATGGATAATTACCCAGCGCCTGCGAAATAATTTACATTCAGTGCCTGCAGGCACCATCATTGTAATGGAGAATGCAGGGACGGCTCCCTACAGTTTTGTAGACCAGGCTGACCGCCAACTCAGAGATCTGCCTGCCTCTGCCTCTCAAGTGCTGGAATCAAAGGCCTGACTACTATGTTTGGTAAATGTGGATTTTTGAAGTATGACCTAAACATTCTCTCAATTTCCTCAGTGTCTGTTTTATGTCTCTCTTTTCATTCTAGTTTTATTAATTTGAGTTCCTCTTTCATTCTTTGACTTAATTCAGCTAAAGTTTTTCAACCATGTTTGTTGTTTCAAAGAGTCAATTCTTTGTTTCATTGATTCTTTGCAATTTTTCTTTTTGTTTGTTTTCTTAGTCTTAGCCCTGATTTTGAGTATCTCTTCCCATTGACTGTTTTGAATGCCTTTTGCTCCTATTTTTCCTAGGCATTCAGATGCACCATTAAATTATTAATTTGAATTGTTATAAACCTTCCTGTCAGAACTACCCTTATGGTATTCCAGAGATTTTTGGCATGTCGTGTTTTCATTTTTATTCAATTCTAGGAATTCAAAATTTCTAGCTTTATTTCCTTCTTCACCCAGTTATCACTCTGCAGTGTATTATCTATTTATTTTCCATGATTTTGTTTAATGGCCATAATTGCTACTGATAAATGACTTTATTCCATTATGGTAAGATAGAATGTAGGATTCTTTTTCAATTTTATTTTATTTGTGCAGACTTACTTCTTTTCTTAATATGCTGTCCATATTTAATAAATTCACATGGGCTGCTGAGAAAAAAAATGTGGTTTTCAGTGTTTAGGGACAATGCTCTCTAGATACCTGTTTGTCCCATTTGGTTTATGATGACATTTAATTCCAGAGTTTCTCTGTTCAGCTTTCTGAGGTGATCTGACAATTGGGGAGAATGGGATATTGAAGTCACCCATCATTTTAGTGCTGTGGTTAACCTATGATTTTCTATACAATTATATTCTTTTATAAAATTGAATGCTGCGGTGTTTAAATGCGTTTCAGATTGCAGTATCTTCTTGATTTTTTTCTTTAATGAGTATAAAATGTGCCTCATATTTTCTGAATACTTTTGGTATAATAGCTATGCCTGCTTGTTTCTTAGTTTCATCTGCTTGGAACCTCTATTTCTATCCTTTTATCCAAGAAGTTGGAGTCTACTGATGATAATGTGTATTTCTTGGAAGCAACAAAAAGATGAATTCTATTTCAAATCCAATTTGTTAATCTGTGTCTTTTCTTTGGGTACTGAGATTGTTAATATTAAAGGTTATTACTGATCATTGTATATTAATTCATGTTATTTTGTTGTTTTGTGGTATTTTCTTAGACTTCTTTTGATTATTTGCTCTGGAATTCTTTATTCCTTGTACACTCTTGGCTATGCTAAATTTTCTATTAACACTTAACTATTTCTTTTAGTATCTTATATAGGTCTGGGTTAGTCATCATAAATTCCTTAAAGCTGGTTTTATCCTGGGAAGTTTTCCTTTTGCCTTTTCATTACAACTGACACCTTTGGTGTACTGAGGTATGTGGTCTTTATGACTTGTATAAATACCATTGGAAGAAGCCCTTCAGTTTTCGAATTTCAGTTGAAAAATCAGCTTTTATTTTGATGGGCTTACCTTTATATGAGACTTGGAACAAGTGGAAGAGACAAAGTATTGGTTCTTGAAGAAAAAGTGGAGGAAATAGATTATTCATTCAAAAAAGATCTAAAAACAAACACAAAAAACAAACAAATTACAGTCAGAATATGCAGGAACTCTGAGACATCATAAAAAGACTAAAACTATGAAAAATAAGCATGAAAGAAGGAAACAAAATCCAGGTCAAGGGGACAGAAAATATTTTCAATAAAATCATAGAAGAAAATTTCCCTAATCTAAAGAAAGATCTGACTATCAAAGTGCAAAAAACATATATAACACTGACTAGACAGGAGAAAAGAAGCTCCCCACATCATATAGCAGTAAAAAAATTACATGTATAGAACAAAGAAAGGATATTGAAAACAATAAGAGAAAATAATCAAATTATCTGAATAGGAGGGGCCAGTAGGAGGCTAAGACTTGAGGTACTCCAGTAATAGAGTGTGGAGAGTTATCAGCAGAAAGTCTGAGGTTCCTATGTGGAGAGCACTTGTGGTGGGTTCAGTCAGGCAGTTGGAGATCCATGTATTCATTATTTAAACAAATATCCATTTGGGCAGAAGCTAGGTGGCAAGCATTGTTATAGGCTCCAAGAAACATTGATTAACAAATTAGAAAAAGAACAGAAAAAAATGTCTCCTGGGAATATACTTTTTCATAATAGTGGAAGTAATAGATAAGAGACAAGATGAATAAAGTGTAAACCTTGTTACAAGTAGGTTAGGTTAAGCAGAAATGGAGACAAGATAGTTTAAATGATCAAGCTGTGGATAGAGTTTGAAATTCTTAGACAGAATGACTTACTTCACTGAGAAGGAACCATTTGAAGTGACCAAAGGATTAATCCATGTAAATATCAAGCAACAGTTTGTTGTTTCAAGCAAAAGGAACAAGTCAAAAGATTCTTAGGTGTGACCCTGTTTGGCAACCGCAAGGAGACCTGAGAAACTAGGAAGGATAAAGGAAGATTTTGGTAGAGAAATGACATTGTAGAGACCAAGATAAATCCTTTGATGCCTATTTTAATCGAGGGACATGATGAACTTTTGAGCAAAGTTCAGCAAAAATATTGTGTGATTTGTCTTGTGATATAATGACTCTGGTTTCTATATTGAGAACAGACTGAATATGGACCAAGATGCAATCAGCATATCATTTAGAAGGATACTAGATTATTCCACATAAGACAAGATGCTGGCTAGGACCCAGGTGGCACAGTGGTTGTACTAAGATGGGCTCACATTATCAGTGCAATTTTAGTATAGACTTGACAACATCATTTTCTAATATGTTGGATATAAGTGATAGCATCAAAATTTTGGACTTTAGCTAAAGAAAAATAATGTTGCCATATACAGAGATGAGAAAGTCTACAGTGGTAATTATTAGATGGGTCAATTTTATTTATCTCTTTATTTATCTCTTATTTATCTCTTCAAAGTGTGTCAAATATATAGTTGGAATCATAATGCATTGATAGTGTATACTGTTAAGACATCTCTAAGAAACAAGTGTTACAAAGCTTTGGGAATTTTAACACTTAGAAGTCAGAAAGGCAAGGCAAAGCCAGCAAAGGGAACTCAAGAAAAAATGGCTGCTGAGGTGTGAAGTCGAAAAGCAAGAGTAGCATCTTAGAAATCAAGTGAAGGAGGCAGAAGGGAATGACCAGCCGTGGGAAAGTATGCCAAGGGCTCAACTGAAAGCTGTTAAATTTTTTTTTTGCATTTTACCAAGTGAATATTTCTGATAATCTTCAGAGAAGCAGATTTGGAGGAGTGGTGGAATCTGAAACCTTATTAGAATGTATTCAGAACAGTGGGGGGCGGGGAAAAGAAATCAGTGGGTAGAAACAGGCCACCCTTTCCAGGAGTTATTCTATAAAAAGAAAAAGAAAAAAGAAAACCATCCCTAGAGGGAGAAGTAGAGGTTTTTGGTTTAAAGATGGGAGAGATAAAAATATGTTATTATGTGATTAAGGAAGATCTAGCGTAGAGAAATTATGCAGTGCTCTCATCCATCATGGCCTTATTAGTTTGTGGTGATAACTGAGCACTAAGTGGTGGGTCTCAAGCTGTGCTACATGCTAGAATTGCTTGAGGAACTTCTCTTTTTGAAAACTCCTAATCCCTAGAACAATTCAATCAGCATCTTGTGGCTGGGCCCCAGCCATTGGTGGGTGAGTGTGTGTG